TATCTGATGTTGCTCTTGCTGGCTGTAAGTCTAAATTTGTGTATGTTTTTACCTCTCTTTCTCCTGGACAATACTTGATATCTGTTCCTATTTTATATAGTCTTTTTTAAAATTTTTAAATCAGGTTTAGAATCCTCTTATTTAGGTAAAAGGGGGAAGTGTAGAGGGAATTCGTCGTTCTTTTACTCAGGTATTTGTGCACTTCCTTAATCCATCCCACAACCCACTCTCTTTGTATCTTTGGGCCTCCTGAATGCTGTTCTTGGTTCCCCTCTCTTCCCTCCCCCAATCTCCTCATGTGGCTCAGGGCCATGACCACTCTGGATTCTTCTAGATGTATCTGCTTCTGACTAAGCTCTCCTACATATCTGTAATAAATTTTCTCCTCCACTATACCTAGGAATGGTTATATCCTTTTCTTTTTTTAATTTCTTTTTATTTTTCATGCATTAAACAAGTGCATGGTGCTTTGGACCCCCCACCGTCCCCCACCCCTGCCTCGTGTGTGTGTGTGTGTGTGTGTGTGTGTGTGTGTGTGTGTGTGTGTGTGTGTGTGTGTGAGTTTGTTACTCAGTAACTGAACACTTTGCCCATCATGGAAACTTGAAAAGGGCATATTTTTATTTTCCTTTTAGAGAGTTGGACGTGAAGTATGCCCAGTGACATTGAATCCTGAGGGATGATTACAAAGGCACATGGCACACAGTCCATCATATTACTCATCTGCACTGATGGTGTTAATAGTCCAGGAGGTAGTAGTGTCAGAGAAACTTCCCTCAAAGCAGCAACTTTGTCTTCTTGTACCAGTTCTTGGCCATGTCCTGGAAATGTCCTGTTTGACTGTGCCTACAGTGGTCTTTAGCTGCCAGCTGTCAGTCTCCTTGGACTCTTGCCTGTTTCCTAAGTATGATCTTAAACTTGGTGACCTACTTGGTATTTCTCAATACTTTCTTTACTAGTTAAGTTACATAGAATTGGTTGCTAATGCTTGCAACTAGGGATCCTGACACACCCTAAACCTGGCAATTGGGAGTTGTTAACAAAAAACTAACTCTTAAGTACAGGATGAGGCTCTGAGGGTCATGCAGCCTCAATGAAAAATAATAAAAGCCAGTTAAGATCAGAGATAGGGCTCTGAAATCCCATGCCTTTAGTAGTGAAATAATTAATACCTTTGAATATTAGAATCATGGAGGAACACTGGTCGTAGTGATATATTTATGATTTATTAAAGCTGGCCTGAGGATTCAGAAAAGCAAAGTCAGTCACTAGTCATAGAAGCCAGGCACACACCTTTAATCCCAGCAGCCAGAAGCACGGAGGTGGTGGTACACACCTTTAATCCTAGGTTGACCGAGCTCTGTGAGTCTAAGGCCACCCAGGGATACACCAGATTGAATCAGTCTAAAAGAGTAACAGATCACATGCTTTTAATCCCAGCAATAGAAGGCTATAAAAGATAGAGAGGCAGGGTCTTCAGTATTCAGTAGGAGACACTCATTCTCCAACCACACTGAAGTAGGAGGCATTCATTTTTCAGCCATGCTGAGGAAAGATTACAGTCTGAGGCTTGGCTGGAGCTTGTGGAGACAGGAGCAGTCCATTCATCTTGAGGTAAAGGTAAGAAGCTAGTTGTCAGCTTCTTTGCTTTTCTGATCTTCAGTTTGAAGTTTGAACCCCAATACCAGTCTCTGGGTCTTTTATATTTTGTGTTACAACTGGTTGTCACAGGTAATGAGGAGGGCATAGAAAATTCTAAAGTTGTGCACTGAGGTTAGCTACTTCCATTGAGAGACTGAGCAGTGAAAAATCTCTAGGTTTTTATTTTAGAACACGCATTGAAACTGAAAGTAAGAATGTAATGTAAGAAACTCTAATAGCACTCAGAGTTGAGACAGATAAAATAACACAGTTAGTCTACCTTCTTACTCCAGCTCTTATATGAGCGTTACTTAATATGCTGATTATGATCTGGAAAGATTAGGATTTGTGTAATTAAGGTGCTGTATAGTTCAGAGTTGGAGGAGCTCAGAAAGCCCTGATGTCTAATTCTTAGGCTTCTTGGCAGCTGACACTTAAGCTCCTCTCTTTCATGCTGTCAAAAATCCCCAGTTTGAGGAGGTTACCTTAAGAGAGGAAGCCAGTTCCCTTAGGCCCTATCCTCACTAAATAGCTCTAGATCTATAATTAGAGTCAAATTCTAGAGGAAATTAAAGAGCTGAGCAGAGAGATCAGTGGTGGAATGCCTGTCTAGTGTGCTCCAGGCCCTGTTCCAATCCCCAGTACAGAAGGAGGAGAAGGAAGAAGAGTGGGGGAGGAGGGAGAGGAGGAAGAAGAAGCAAAAAACAATTATAAAGGGAAGTTCAGGAAAATATGACATCATAGCAAAGAATTGGAGAGCTTTGCTAATTACTTCTGGGGTGTGGCCTAGCAAGCTTGAAAGGATGCTAAATAAACATAAGGAAAACAAGTTTTGAGACTGGGTTAAAAATGTGATAAGCTGGGAATAATTGTCCTTTTCTCTGCTGGAGGCTGATGGACTTCTGGACCCAGGGTGACTCACAAACAGGTTATGCTGTTGATATTTGATAATTTCACTTTAGAAGTCTGATGGGTAAGGATCTTCTGGCTGCTTTCACCGGAAAGGACACATGGGCCTTCTGATGAGCTGCTTTGAATGTAGTAATATTTACTTTGGAAAGTGTGGTACTCTCTCTCACACACACAAATGAATCTGAGATTCATTTTGAAACTGAGTGCAATCACATCACTTTATTGTCTCTTTTCCAATTTTATTTTGACATAAAATTTCAACTCCTCTATTTGTAACAGTGACCATGGGTAAAGGCAGAATGAGTTGATGGTATTTCCTATGTGTGAGAAGACTGGTATTCGGATCCCAATATGAAAGCCAGGCAGCATGGCAGCCTGCCATTAGACTCAGTCTCAAGAGGTGGAGACAGAATATTCCTGGAGCAAACTGGCCAGCTAGACTTGCCAAGCCAGCAGTCTTGAGTGGGGAAACCTTGCCTCAAAATGTAAGGTGATGGGTGGCTGAAAAAGATACTTGACAACAACCTGTGGCCTCCACAGACTTGTGCAATGTACCCAGACACTTGTGCACATATGTGTGCCCAGACACATGTGAATTTCCAGACACACACACATGCACAAACACACACATACACACACACACACACACAGAGCAAAAAAAATTTCAAATTATCTATATGATCAAATTATCGGTAAAAATTCATAGAGCAGTAATGATGTAACATCAGAGCAGGCATTATTATAAGTACTGCTCACATTATAAAAAGACAGTCAGACATCATGCCTCCCAGTGAATGTGCCAATTGCCACTCAGGAGATATTCTTGCAAAAAAAAGTACAGAATCAAGCCAGAATAAGATTAAACATCTAACTAGAACTAACAGTTTATAGGAAACAGTGAGACATATATTTGGTCTGATGAAGGTTGTAGAGTGCGGCCCTCCCCAACATCTTGACTCCAGAGCCGCATCAGTCCCAAATGAACACGCAGGAGGCTGTATTAATTATGAAGCTATTGGCTGGCTATTTCTGACTTAAGTATTTACCTCATAATTGTTAATCTAAGTATTTTTCTTACCAGAGAAAGGGGTCCAGACCTCTTATTCCTATGGTGGCTACATCATGACTGCCTGTGTCTCTCTTTCCCAGCATCCTCCTGGACTCCTAGTTCCACCTATCTTGCTTCCCTATTGGCCAACAGTGCTTTATTGACATATACACAGGACTTCCCCATCAGAAGGTTGTCAGCACAACCCAGAAACAGGAAGTGAAGTTGGAAACTTGAGGATGAACGGCTGGTTTCTTTTGAGAATGCCCTATAGGCATGTCCAGCCTGAGAACCAGCCTGTGGACTGTGTTCAGCTCAGGATAGCTGCCCATGCAGAATAGCACAAAAATCACGAACTTACTTAAAACATGAAGATTTTTCTTTTTCGGTAACTTGAGCAAGAGGTTCTGGAGTATGAACTAGTGTGTGATAGCCAAGTGTCAGAGTGTCCAAAGACTGGGCACACCCACAGGGGAAGAATGTGGAGGAGGTGAGGCATGTACAGATTAGGAAGGGCTTAACAGTCACCAGCTTTGTTTCTGACTTAAATAAGCCAATGGCAGGGAGAAAGAGGGAAGGGAGGAGGGGAAGAGGGAGTAGGGAGGGAGAGGAAGGGGTGAGGAAGGGGGAGGGAGTGGGGAGGGAGGGTGAGAGGGAGAGGGGGAAGGAGGGAGAGAGATGGGGGAAGAGAGATGACCTATAATTTCGTGGCATGAAGTAAGGGAGCTGAGGAGGCCTCTCTCCATGGTTGTGTCCAGATCACAGCCCACAGTGGCCCTAGGAGTGAATGGCTACAGCAACACTCCTCAGAGTGCACACTCTGCCTGCAGGAGGACCGAGAAAACCTCATCCTCCCAGACCTGGTCCTATGGCATCATATAAGATTGGAAGTCAACAGAAATCTAGGAACTCATGAACATACTCCTTTTCCTGGGTTTGGTGCAAGAAATTGCTCAGGGTTTTAAACTGGAGCCGGGCTTCTTGAAGCACAGGTGTTGGTGCTTCATAGAGGTATTGTCAGGGTTTCCAAGGTCATTTGTATGTGAATGTCTTGAATAGATTCAGGGTCATGAAGCATCAAAGTCAGAAATGTTGCAGTCATCCAGTTCCTTGATGTCATAACTGTTAGGGATGAACGTGTTAAAAGCTTTTGGATAATGCCAACATTCAGATTTAAACACAAACAGGCACATTTCTTATCAACAGCATATAAACTGTGTTAGTGACTCTTGTTTTCTTTTTTAAATCAAAGAAATCACTCAGTCTGGCTACTGTGGTCTTGAGTGCTGTCCCCTGTGTAGACACAGGTCTTCAGTGCTGTCCCCTGTGTAGACACAGGTCTTCAGAGTTGCACTGCTTCCAAGTTTACTATTACAGTAGATCAAAACATTAAAGAGTGTAAGAGGGAGAATTAAGGATTTTTATTTGCTTTCCTCCCTTGAGGCCCCATAATTAAATTTACATTAGGAAAAGAATTGAGATGTAAAGGAGTCAGTCATTAAAAAAAAGACTTTGTAGTTTCAGTACTCGATATGTGGCCAATGCAAGTTACTTCACTTCTCTGAGGCTCATTTTAGCCATGGCTGTGATGGTCAACAGCGTTGGTCATGGAGGCTTTTATGAGAGCATGTGTGGATCGTATGGTACATCCAGGCTCTTTAGGTATCTAAAGACACACAGCTGGTAGTGGCCTAGAGCACGGGATTCCATTGCTCTGCTCTTTCTTCTGGTAGCCAGCATACTTCCAACTAGAGAGGAAAGGCAGGCATGACTAGGAGTCATTTGGCAACAAGTAGGGTGTGGTTTCATCTATGATTTGCTTGCCTAGATGGATTTGTCATTAATGATGGCATCAGCCTAGTTTCTCACTTGAATCATGGCCTGGATCCATAGAGACTGATTGAGGCGGGATGAATGAAGTCCCTGTGAGAAGTTTTGTTTTTTTAAGTCCGAAACAAAGAGTTCCATATACAACATAAGTTACTGCTCACAGTACTCTGCCCTGCTCAGAGTCACTCTTCTAGATAGGGCCAGAAACATCCAGGGCTGTATGTTTGGTTTCAGGGATCATAGTATTTTCAGAAATGTATATATTGGACAAGATGATTTTCACAACAGCACATACAATGAACAATTCTGTCCTTCTAGATAGCCAACAAGAAGGCATGTTCAATTCATCCCCAGGACTACCCTTTCCCTTCTTTTATTATTTGTCTCCTTGGCCATCAGTTGCAGATGCCTGTGGCCTGATGCCTCTGGAACCTTTAAATTCTTCTGACTTGAGGAAGAGCTTTGGGGCTTTAAATGGGCACCGCGCCAAACAAATGTGTTTCTCGGTGTTTTCCATTTTTATAAGCATCTTTACTTCTTCCCTTTTTGTCAGTCATTCTGGAAACCTTTCCTAGAAAGGGCAGAGACATAGGATGCTTCAGTCCTTTGCACTTTTTGTTGGAAATGAGGGAGGCATGTGATGAAAATAGTACATCTGTAAGACTTTGCCCTGCTCACTATGCTCCTGTGCCTTGAAGAAAGCCAACTTTTGGTAATGAACACCCCACACTGTGCTGAAGGCTGAAGATACAAAGGTGATTCAGATCCCCAACAAGCTTGGCACTTCAGGAGAGAGAGGGAGGGAGGGAGATTGATTAGTAGGTTCAGAAGGTGGGCATCAAAATGACCACAACAAAAAGCTAGAGAACACAATCACTAAACAGGCAGAGGTAAATGCTTTGGAAGAGAGAAACTCTCTCAAGAGGAGACAGTCTCTAGAGAACGTGGCATGCAGCTGGGGCCTTGATCAATTTACTTCAGCAGCCACAATCTGTTTGCCTTGGCACTCCAAGACTCCTGCTGCTCCCCACACAAAGCAAACAGAGAAAGGTATGTATCCAGGAGCACTGTATCAAGGGCCATTGGTGGTTCTGCCTGAGAGTCTGTGCTCACCTTAGGAAGTAAAATGTGACTGTGTATGCCTGTGATCTCAGCACACAGGAAGCCAAGTCTTGAAGTTTCCTGAGAATGTGAAGCCATCCTGCTCCACGTCATGAGTTCCAATTCAGCCAAAGTTACACAATGAGACCTTGTTCCACTAAGTCAAAACACCAGGGCAGGCGAGATGGCTCAGTGGGTAAAGGTGACTTCTCATGACACAGGTTTGATCCCTGGAAGTATTGCAATAGGAGAAGTGAACCAACTCCCAGGAGTTGTCCTCTGAGCTCCACATACATGACACTGTATGCATGCAGCCTTCTCCACAGACCCCCCCCAAATATATATAGCAAGGCAAAAACCTCACAAACAGACAAACAAAAGCAACCCAGAAAACTTCGTTCTGCTTCAGAACTCTTGTGTCAAGGAAGAGGCAATGGCATGTGGGTCTCTGCCACGTGAACGCTGCCATTCATCGAATGGATATCTAATGAGTCCTGTCTCACGCTGGCCTGGCATAAATAGATGCTGGGAATAAAGCAGCGAATAAGAACTCACAAGTTTGTCTGTGGAAAGCAACAGTTAATTACACAAGTACATCTGTAATAAGCACTGAGGGGAGAAGCTAGGGAGACACCTGACAGCTGTCTGGGCACTGGGGAAGTCTTCCTTAAAGAAGTTGCATTTGAGCTGGGCACTGGAGAGAGGGTAGGGGAAGCAGGGATAGAGGAGGGCCAAAGGCTGAGGGAAGCAGGCTGGAGGGAGCCTTCCTGTGGGTGGTCCGCAGAGAGCTGCAGAAGCTGAGGAGGTGGGGGAAGCCTCTGTGTGTGGCCCCGGGGTACCACGCCGGACCTCCGTCATCACTAGGGAGGAGGGCAGAACCCAGAACCCTAGTGAGTTGAGAGTGAGGGGAAAGGAGGGTTGGGAGCTACTGAGACTTAATGGAGAATCCGGTGAAGAGGTGGGGGGGGTGAGTGTAAACCAGAGAGATGGAGAGACAGACAAGGAAAGAAAGGAACGAGCTTCTCAGCAACATCACAGGATTTGTTTGTGAGAAGCACCTGCAGTTTCTGGGATAGACTCAGAACCCTCTGACTGCTTATGGGTTGTGGGAGTCACAGGGCAGAAAAAAGGGACAGGGAGATTGACATTGTCCCTTTTTTGACTCGCAGCCAACCACTGCCAGGGGTAAGTAGCCAATTAAGGAAGTCAGGTGGTCACTAGTCATCTCTTGTGGCTGGCAATTACTGGGGGTTAATAGGATGGGGAGGGCAAGAATTTTGTAAACAAGTTACTTCAGTTCAGGGAACTCAATTACTTTTGTTTAAGGAGCTGTCATTGTTCAACCAAAATGGAGGAGCTTTACAGAATGGTGTGGCCCTGGCTAGCAGTGGCAATGGGGACAAAGGTGTAAGGAGAAAGGACAAGATTTAAAAATGAAAACGAGTGACTGGTCAGATTGTTTCAATTTCCTTTCCTTTCCTTTCCTTTCCTTTCCTTTCCTTTCCTTTCCTTTCCTTTCCTTTCCTTTCCTTTCCTTTCCTTTCCTTTCCTTTCCTTTCCTTTCTAAGACAGAGTCTCACACAGCCTAGGTATCTATTAGTGTCTAAGTAATTCTGCCTTTAATGCAGTCCTCAGTTTCCCAACAACTTTTCTGATAATTCAGGAAGCCAAGAATTGGGCCCTTTAGAGTTTCTTCGACTCAGCCTCCTCAGACCCTTCCCCAGGCAGCCCAGGCCCCGGCTTCTTTTCTAGCCTGCTCCGTCTTCCATAGCAAAGGAAACAAATGTAATTCTTATAACTTGAAATGATCCATAATCTCTCCACATGGCAGTGGATGTACATAAGGGTGCCAGGGTACATAAGGACCCTTCCAGACTGTTGGCTTCTACAAACAGTGGTCTCTTCGTGACATGAGTTCATTGGATCTGGGGTAGAAGGAACAGGAAACTGGGCTGTGGCAATCAGAACTATTTCAAAAGAGGCCAGGACAATGGCTGGATCCTGATCTCATAAGCTCATTACCTTATTTCTTTTTTAGTAGAAACATATCAGAAGAGCGCAATCAGCATAAACAGTCTCAGAGCAATATTTCAACAAAGAGCCTTCAGATAAACCGTATTTGTCAAAAGGCAAATTTTCAACAAAGAACCTTTAGATACTATATAGTTCTCTTTTCTTATAAGAGATGAATGAGTTATTTTTTGGAAGGCCCCCAGGGGCCATGCTAAACAACAATGGACAATAGTCTCTTAATTCCAGTAAGTTTTTTTTTTTAATTTTATGGTTTCAGATGTCTTGGTCCTGGGGCATTTGGGTAAGTACCCTATTACAGCAAGGGTTGGCATACATAAAACTCACCTTGTAAGCATACATTTGGGCAAGCATGAAAAAATGTTAAGTTTGAGGCTGGATGTGGTGGTCCAGGACTTTTATCCCAGGCTCCAGGAAGCAGATCTCTGTGAGTTTAAAGTCAGCCTGGTCTATACAGGGAGTTCCAGGACAGCCAGGGCTCTGTAGAGAGATACCATCTCAAACAAAACTAAGGAAAAAAAAGAGAGTGAAAGAAAAATATTAAATTGGATTTATTTGCATCACTTTGAGGGACAGACTTGGGCCTGTGCTAAACAATTTATGGGTCTGTTCCCTGGTAGGGATTCCCACTGCTTTGGTGTCGATTTCCTGCTTTGCTCACAGAAACTATGCTTTTCTTGGTCAATAGCATCACTACATTGAGTTGGGGATTCTAGAGACTTAATTACCCCATTTGGATAAATGTCCCTGGTTAGGGTCAGAACAGTGTATGTGGTGCCTTATTTGCCTAGAACTGTGCTGTCTACTGTGGTGCCCATTACCCACAGGTGGTGATTATTTGTAGAAAAGAATACAAATTAGTTTTCTAGCACCGCATTTGGAGCCTCCTCAGTCACCCCTTCCCTTCTTTTTTCTTCCACCCCTTTCCTTCTCTTTGCTGGAGATAGAACTTACATCTTCTTTTTTATATTATGTTATTTATGTAGATGGGTGGTTTTGCCTGCATAAATGTCTGTGCTCCGTGTTCATTCCTGGTTCCTTCAGAGGCCGGAAGAGGGCATCAGAGCCCCCTAGGGCTGGAACTGCAGATGGCTGTGAGCTGCTATGCGGATGCTGTGAACAGATCCAGGTCCTCCATGATCTACAAAGGAGAGTGGCTGAGCCCAACCGCAGACCTCAGAGAGTGCTGGCTGGTAAAGAGTGTTGTGAACAGGGGGTAATGAGAAGAGAAGGAGCAAGAGGTCCCACTCTAAGCAGACTCTGTTGTGAAGACAATCAGATCGTGAGCTTTTACTAAAAATAATTATTACTATTTCTATGAGTGTTTTGCCTGCATGTGTGTCTGTGTACCACATATGTATCTAATGTCCTCAGAGGACAGAAGAATGCATCAGGTTTCTTGAAAGTGGAGTTACAGATGGTTGTGAGCTGCTGGGAACTGAACCCAGGTCCTCCACAAGATCAGTATGAGCTCTGAACCACTGAGCCATCTCTCCAGCCCCAAGAAAATAACCTATATTAAGTAATTAGTGTCACTCTGTGAAGGATAGATGCTGCTTTTGTTTGTTTGTTTATATATATATATAATAATTTTTTTATTTAACTTTTTACTCTCAGTTCCCTCTCCTCCCCAGGCCCTCATTCCTCCCAGCCCTCCACTCTACTCCATCTCCCCTCTGCTCCCCAGGGAGGGTAAGGGCTTCCTTGAAGGATTTTCAGAGTCTGTCATATAATTCCAGGCTGGGCCTAGGTCCTCCTCCGTGTGTCCAGGCTGAGAGAGCATCCCTCCATGTGGAATGGGCTCCCAAAGTCCATCTGTGTGCCGGGAATAAATACTGATCTACTCTCCAAGGTCCTGTAGATTGCTGAGGCCTCCTCTCTGACACCCAGGTTGGGGCAGGGCGGTGTCTGGATCAGTCCCATGCTGGTCTCTCAGTCATCAGTCTGGGGTCCATGCATTCCCCCTTGTTTATGTCAGCTGCCTCTGTGGGTTTCACTATCCGGGTCTTGATTCCTTTGCTCATCACTCCTCTTTGCAACTGGGTTCCGGGAGTTCAGTTCATTTTTTACCTGTGGGTATCTGCCTCTGCTTCAGTCAGCCACTGAATGAGGGTTCTCAAGCACAGGGCAGGGGCTGGGAGGGGACTGAGGGCTGAGGTGTGACCAGACTCAGGATGATCCTTTCCCGTGGGACAGGGCATGCCTAGGGAGACAGATGGAAGCAAGGAGATGTCGGGAGCTGGGGCCCAGAGCAGAGCCCACACTCACCTCAAGCACAGGGCAGGGGCCCGGAGGGGACTCGCTACTTTTATTTTTATGATTAACAAAAACAGCAGCAAGGCTTTGAGAGCTGAACATGCATCATCAGATAACAAGGGATGAGCCTTAGACCAACACCTAAGAATTCTGCTATAAGTGGTGTCCACTAAAAAAGGTCTGTGCTTGTGAGTACTAAGTGTAGGCACTGTGGTGCCCGTGAGTGATTCTTCACCTACGTGGCAGACGTGACTGAGGTAGCTCTCTCTAGGGCACTTGCACAGGCTGTTCCTGATGTGCATTTTGGCCACATTCTCATGCCTGAAAAAAATGTAACAGCCCTAAATGGATCAACCCCCTCCCTCCCTCCTCTCCGCACACCTCTTTTTGAGACAAGGTTTCTTCTGTGTAGCCTTGGCTGTCCTAGAACTCTGTCTGTCGGAAACTCTGCCGATCAGGCTGGTCTTGAACTCAGAAATCCTCCTGCCTTTGCTGGGATTAAAGGTGTGTACCTCCACTGTCTGGCAGATCAATTTTTTTTTTGCAGAAACTTGTAATTTGGAGGTTTCATGTGTATGTATATATACATACACGTATATACATATATACGTGTATGTATATATACATAATACATACATACACACACACACATTTGGGCAAAGAGGGCGTGGGACACAATACTGGCGGCAGTGAGGGCACTTCCAATAAAGTAAAATGAAGATAACAGACAGGTTAAAGGAAAAAGTGAGAAGCTAGCATCAGCTGCTCCAGGTCGATGTTCTGAAACCTTGACCTGTGTTGAACCCAGAGCATTTTTGCTACAATTTAATTAAAGACTGCGTTGAGGCCAGTTTGTGAAAGACGAAACAAAGGTGAACTGATTTTGCAATTCCTCCAGGTGCTTGCCAGTCCTTTTGCTTAATCTTAAACCCTTCACAGGTCCCTCTTGCCATCCTCTCGCCAACCTTAGCTTCCCCCATTCTGCCACTCTATGCCCTGAAACCACCCCAGACTTAGTTTCTGTTCCACCTGTGCCAAGTAGCGCTACTGTGATTCCCCGATTATGTGCATCAGGTAGCCAGATGATCTTCGTGTTCCGTGATAAACCGTCAGATAGGTAGCTGGTATGTTTTTCTCTCTGTGTATGCCTGCCAGTTACCTGTAGGTGGTAACTTCCAAATGTAAGCGTCTCAAAGCTGACATGTCTGAAAATTAACTTAGGACTTTTATATAAATAGGCTTTTTTGTTTTGTGCTCTCTTAATGTGCTTCTCTGTAGATGGGACCTGGAGACGTGTGCATGGGGTGGTTTAAAGTTCCTCAGACCTCCAGTCAGGATGAATCTTGTCCTGCTGTGTGAATACAGGGAGCCCTTTTCTTGTCCCTGCAGGGGAGCAATAACGATGAACCAACTTGTAGAGAATGCTAGCTGTTTCTGAGGATTTGTGTACCTCTTCTCCAAGAGCTGGCAAGTCCAAACTTTTCTTTCCATTTAGATCCTGGCTGGAGGACTAAGCATCATCCACTATAACAACTGAAGTTCACTCTAAAGTATTCACTTAATACCTGTTGTTGTTACAGTAGCTCAGGCTGGCCTGGAATTTGCAGTAGTCTTCCTACCTTAACCTAAGTGCTGCATTGCAGGCATGAGCCACCACACACAGATGAGCGACAGCTTTAACTAGGCTACCAAATGCGTGTCTTTAAATTATAAAGAGAGATTTATTTACTTTTATATTATGTGCATGAGTATTTTGCCTGCATGTATGCATATACGCTTACACGCATGTCTGGTGCCCATGGGGTTCAGAAGAAGAGTTGCATTTCTTAGAACTGAAATTACAAATGAAATTACAATGGGTTCTAGGAACTGAACCCAGATCTTTTCATCTCAGTGATAGAGCCAGGCTCCTACAGTCCCTGAACAGCTCAGCTCTGAGCTCCAACCCAGTGAAAGAACACAATGGAAGAGACACTTTATCCCTAAACCTAGAGCCAGGGAAAAACACCCCAACTCTGAAACTAGCACCAAAAATACAGACTTTGCCCTTAGAATCGGAGCCTGTAAAAGAAATTTGCCCAGGTCCTGAAATTGGAACCTAAAAGCTAAAAAGAATCATAGAAAGAAACACAGTTTGGCTCTGAAACTGGAGCCATCTTTGCCTCTGACACAAAACCAGCCAATCCCTAAACTGGAAAAACGGACCAATATCTGAGCAGTAAAGTAGCACCCTCCAGCCTAGGGCTGTGCCCTTTCTAGCCCAGGGAAATAGTGAAGTAGCAACCTCTAGTCTACAGGCTCAATTTCCCATAGATCCTAAGCCCCAGGAAGTAGTAACCCCAAGGCCAGAGACATACCAAGACTAGCAGGAGGTAGCCTCTTCCAGTCAGCCAGGTATGACTGTCCCTGACCTTCCCCTGACCTTGGGGGTCTCTCCTGCTCTGCTGCTGTTGCTGCTGCCATGGCTTCAGATGGACGAATGGAGGGACTTCCTAATAAAAGACTCTTTGTTTTTGCATTGGAATCAGTCTTAAAGTGATTTTGGTTCTGGATTGTGGGCATAGCACTCAGTACTTGGGAGGCAGATCTCTTTAAGTTCCAGGCCAGCCTGGTCTACAGAGAGAGTTCCAGGACAGCCAGAACAATTACACAGAGAAAACTTTTCTCAAAACAATAAAAAAGTCTATCACATCTAAGCTGAACAAGATAAACCAACAGAAGGAAAAGAGCCCAAGAAAAGGCACAAGAATCAGGGACCTGCTGGGCAGTAGGTGGTGGTGCACGCCTTTAATCCCAGCACACAGCAGGCAGAGGCAGAGGCAGGCGGATCTCTGTGAGTTTGAGGCCAGCCTGGTCTACAGAGTGGGTTCCAGGACAACCAGGGCTATACCTAGAGAAACCTTGTCTCAACAAAACAAAACAACAATCATAGACTCACTCGTTTGCACACTCATGAAACACTAGACCGGAAGTTTATACGCAGAGGATCTGGTGCAGGCCCTGTGCTTGCTGCCCCAGACTTTGTGAGTTCATATGAGCTTGCTCACGTGGGATTAGAAAGTCTTGTTTCTTGGTGTTCTCCATGCCTTGGGGCTCTCACACTCTTTCTACCTCCTCTTCCAGGGGGTTCCCTGAGCTCCAAAGGCAGGGATTTGATAGAGACATCTCGTTTAGGACTGAGTGTCCTCGCTCTGCACACTGTCCACTTGTGGGCCTTTATACCTGTTCCCACCTGCTGCAAGAGGAAGCTTTTGTGATGATGGCGCAGCAAGGTACTGATCTATGAGAAGAGCACAATGGCATTAGAAGTCATTTTATCACTACATTTTTTTCTTTTTTTTCAGACCAGTATTACTTGTTTTTACTCTAGGTTCTTGGGCTATCTAATCTCAGGCTCTTGGTCATCCATGAAGTGTCACATATGGGTTTCATCTTGTTATCCAGCCTTTTCAAATGAATTTTCAGCTAGTCCCTTACTTCTCTCAGAAGCTATTCCAGTTGTAAGCATTTTATTCTTCAGGAATCTCTCCCCACATCCCTGTCTCAAAAAATTACACACACACACACACACACACACACACACACACACACACACACACACACACATATATTTGTATATATTTGTGTGCATGCTTATATCCATGCATAATTACATGATAACTGAGAGATTCAAACTGTTGATGTCTTTTGAAAAGAATATGTATAATTTGAATACATTTCATTAGAAACCTTATGGAGTACAGGGCTTTAAGTTCTGAGACTGTGTAAGAGGCTAAATCTCCCAACCTGATATAAACTGCTGAGGGCAGTGCTGGCACAGAAGTGGACCCCAAGGATTATTAATTTAATGTTATTTTTAATAACTTTTCTACCACCTACAACTTTCTGTCTTACTTGTCTTCTCTTTCTCTTTTTTCCTGCCCATCACGAAGTCTCCTCCTTTCTCTGGTTAATTCTACCTCACCATCCTTACCACTCATAGATCTTCTCCCACCTGCCTGCTCAATTATCTCTCTTTATCAAGTACCGTTCCTGTATTCTTCTTAATCTTTAATATCTATTTGACCATGTCTT